ACCACCGGCGGCAACGGAACAACGGGCGACAACACCACCACCGGCGGCAACGGAACGACCGGCGGCAATGGCACCACCGGCGGCAACGGCACCACCGGCGGCAACAGCACGAATGGCGCCAACAGCACGAGTGGCGGCAACAGCACGACGGGTGGCAACAGTTCAAATGGCTGTGTCACTGCCGGCACAAGTGGTGGCTGTCTGAATGGCGGTGCGTACAATCAAGTCATAGTTGTTGATCTTGAAAGGGATTGAGCTTGTTCAAGAACCGTGGCTGCTCTCACGTTGCTCTGCTGTGCCGTTGACTAACACTACCTTGCGCAACTCCTTTGCAAATCTTCATCTCCCGGCAACACTTGTTTTGTGCCTGCTCCTTCTTACAGGTGTTTGCACAGGGAACCTGACCTGCGATTGCACCGGCACTGGTTTTACAGGCTTTCTCTGCAACACCACTGGTGCGAACGGCCTGGGGCACAGGCTCTAGTGCTGGGCTGAGTGAGCTGTGTTTCCAAGGTGCACGATGCATTGCCAGCCTGTGTGTAGCCTGAACACAAGAAACTTTTGATGCAGGGGTGGCAAAACACACCTTGATACCTAGCCCCCTGTTTGCTGCTTATTTGTTGACCTTCGCCCTTGAACCCCCCCCCCCCCCAACGCAGCTTGCAATCAAACGTGTCTCAATGGAGGCCGCTGTGTGGGGCTCAACACTTGTGACTGCGCTGGCACTGCTTTTGGTGGTGCAACGTGCGACACCATTGCAGGTAGTTAGTCCTCCACAAGCTGCGGGCATGAGCGAGTCGAGAGTGTCGTCTTGCGTGTCAAGCCAGCAGCAGCCCTTTATGTATATGGCATGCCCGCATGCAGATGAGGCCATTGCGTGCACTTAGCTGGTTGACAGAGCTCACGTGCGCACGACCCTGGCTTGCACCAAGGCAATAGCTCAGCATGTGCTTTTGGCGAGGGGCGAGGCTGCGCTGCATGATTATGACAGTGGCCGCAACGTTGTTCTACAATCTTGCGGTTGCCTCACATCCTCCGGTCAACTCTCCTCATCCTTGCATCCCTGCCCCTTGCCTGCCTGCTTGCTGCTCCCCTACACAGTGTGCAACCAAACGTGCCAGAATGGCGGCCGCTGCGTGGGCACAAACACGTGTGATTGCTCCGGCACTGGTTTCACCGGCGCAACCTGCACCACGCCTGCTGGTGCGTGCTGCCTTGCTGGCTGGCAGCATAGATTGGCAGCTGGGCCTGGCTGCCTGACGGCGTATGCCCCTCGCAGTGGGTAGATTTGCTGCAGGACGTGACCCATGCACCGCCTCCTGCCATGCACTGCATGCAGTGTGCACCCCGGGACTGTGCAAGAACTTGGGCGTGTGCTCAGGAAACAACACTTGCAACTGCGACGGCACCGGCTTCACCGGGCCGACTTGCGAGGGGCCCGTGCCAGGTGGGTTGACAAGGGGGTTATGGGGAAAGTGCGGAGTCATTGCTGACGGCTTGGAATGTATGTATGTTAAGGATGGGGAGCAGCTGGGGCAGATGGCATTCTGTATCCGGCTTGCAGACGGCTTTGCTGCAATGTTTTGAAAGGACCTACTGTCGAAGACTGAACACAATGCATGGACGCCACCTGGCCTACGCTATTGTAATTTGACGGTCCTCTCCTGGCCGCCTCGTTCCTCTCTGTATGTAGTCTGCAACGTCACATGCCAGAATGGTGGCACTTGCATCAACACCAACAAGTGCAGCTGCCCCATCGGCTTCACTGGCCCAACCTGCAACCAGACAATCAATGGTGGGCACGCTGTCAGCAGCTTTGAGATCCTGAGTTTGTGCGGTAATTGCTGCCTCAAGCCCTCACTGCGATATGTTTTGGCCAGAAAGTGATGTTTGGGGGCCGTGGTGGATGGCTGGTGTTGCAGGTCATGATCCAAAACTTCTACTTGTGCAACCCACAACAAATTGCTCCGCTCTTTGTTTCAACACCCCCTACCCTGTAGCCATTGTATCAAGCGGCGTGGACGGTTTCTACATCTGCCCGCGCAACGGCGTCTGCAGGGTGGCCGCACCCGGCCTCCTGAGCCTCTTCGTCAACCCCAAGCAGCTGCCCCTCTATTTGGTGGCTGCGGGCAAGACCAGCCCAGCCGTCGGCGTGCTGGACGTCAAGTCTGACGGCTCGCTCACCTACACCCCGCCCATGTGAGAGTGTGCGCCACACATCCTTGTGCTCGCAAGCTAATCTGCTGCTATCCGCTCGCACGGACGGGCGCAGTGGCAGCGAGTCCAGGCACGTCAGCGGCCCGGCGTGCGTGGGTTGATCGCCTGCAGCGGCCCATTTGCATCTAGGGTGCTGCCCGTCAGCATCTAATACCTTCCGCTCACAGAGGTGCTGGACCTCATTGCAACTCCTCCCTTTCATCGCCCCTCCTCCCTTGCTACTTTTTTCACCTGGAATCGTATGCAAACCTTGCCTTCACTCACGTCGCAGTTCATTCGCCGGCAACGTCTCCTTCCCAGTAACAATCACCGATCTGACATCACTCAGGACTCTCAACATAGTGCTGTCCATCACCGGCCCTGCACCGCCCGTCCCCACGGCTGTGAACGACTTTTTCACGTGCCCCCTGGGCACTGACTGTGTGATCCCAGCCCCTGGTGTGCTGGCCAATGATGTCAGCACCAGCGCGGGCGCCAAGCTTGTCGTCACCAGCAACACTGGGAACGTCACCGTGACGCCCGACGGCCAGGTCACCCTGAAGTTCGTCCCGTGAGCATGCCTGGGAGCCGGGGCAGCTGGGGCCCCAGCCGAAATTGGGGCAGCTGGGGCCCCACTAGTGCGGCCTGGCTGGTCAAGCTGTGCAGCAGCGAGCTGCGGCCAGCACGGAGGCTTTGATCTCACAGTTCGCGTTGCGTCCTTCAGGCTCACCGTATTCTGATTCCACGGCCAGCCATTAGTCAATTGTTGATGAAGTCAAGACTGTGTCCCTTTGCTCTTGTGTCGATCTCACCGCTCCAGCCCCACCTCTCCCCCCCCCCAAAAAAAAACTCTCAGAGGCTTCTCTGGCAACTCGAACTTCACCTACACTATCAGCGACGGCGTCTCCCTCTTCACCTCCACCGCCACCGGCACCCTGAGTGTCCCGGCCGTCCAGCCCTTGGGCGCAGGCGTCAGCCAGGTCTTCAACACCTTCCTGCTGCTGACCCCCGCGGACGGCAGCGGCGCCAACGCCGCGTGCCCCGACCCCGCGCCTGGTCTGTCCGAGATCACTAACGCCGCGGTGGCCAGGCTGGGCACTGTTCAGAACATCACCAGCATCCAAAGCTCTTTTGTGAAGTGCGACTTGGTGGTGAGCCTGCATAGATAGGGGATCGGGGCCTGACTGGGAACGATGCATGCAAGGGGCGCTGCGGCGATCTGAACCCACTTGTCTGTGCCTTGGAGGGGCTGGCATGGCGGTGGGGCGCGGCAGGCTGTTGGGTTTGCCCAGCAAGTGCTGCTCTTGCACTCCTCGTGCGGCTCTGCGTGCCCTTGACTTTGAAGGCCTGCTGGTTGAGGACGGTATGCACAGTCCAGATTCACCACTGCCTTGTGATACACCAATTAGTTCTTGTAGCCCACTCAGGCCAAGGTTGCAACAGCAGATGAGTACTCCCAGCTCACAAACCACTGAGTCTGCTCCTCCCTTCTTTCTCAAACCAACAGGACAGCGGCAAGGTCCTGGTCACCATGGCCACCACCGTCGGCGCAGCCAGCGCCGGGCCCATCGCCACCCTGCTGGCAGGCGTCAACTCGCCCGCATCCGTCGGCGCCGCGCAGCCCCTCGCCAACATCTGCGCGTCGTCCCTGTTTGCATCGCTGTGCAACGGCACTGTCTTCAGCAGGCTGCGTGTGGTCGACGGCTGCGCGACGGTCAACAGCCAGTGCCTTCCCGAGACGCTGCGCACCAAGCGCTGCATCGTCCGGGGCCAGACGATCGGTGGCTACACTTTCGTGCGCTCAAGTGCTGGCCGTGCCATACCCTTCTTCAACGCCAACTCAGCAGGCGCCGCGTCAGACTCGCCTCAGGCCCGCCGCCTGCTGCAGAAGGTCCGCCAAGCCACGATTGAGTCGTGCTGCGTAAGCCCCAAGCAGAAGGAGCCCCCGACAGGCACCGCCCCCACCTGCAAGAAGATCAATGTCGGCAAGAAGTTCACCAGCCTGGGTGCCTTCAAGCCCACTACCTGCAAGTGCACCAACATCCGCGAGTTTGTGCAGGGCGCGATGTGAGTGGCACACGCACGCACGCACCTGTCCGAAACAGCATGTGCAGGGCGCGATGTGAGTGGCACACGCACGCACGCACCTGTCCGAAACAGCATCTGTGTCTTGACTTACCCCCCCGCCCCCCCCCCCCGCACCGGCACAATCAGTTTGATGTTTGGTATAGATTGTGCTGGCAGCATGGGCTGCGGCATGCGCTTGTTGAGTTGTTTCCGCAGCTTCACCATGCCGCAAACTAGTGTATTTGATTGCACTCGATGGCTGCAACGTCGTCACTCCCCCCCTCCTGCTCTACGGGCCTGCTGACCCTACCTTGCAGGACCACCAAGGTGCCCAAGGTCAACGTCACCTTCAACCCGGCCGCCTACCCCTTCAGCGTTGGGTTTGTGGGCACTGTGTGCGTGCCCAGCCCGTCTAAGAGCAACCCCCTGAAGTGCACTAACAAGTTCCAGACCGTGGGTGCTGCCACCGTCACCTGCGCCAACGGCACCCTGAACCTAGCCTATGAGTCGGCACCCCGCTATGTCATCGGCCGCGCGCAAAACGTTGTCGCTACATGCGCCAACAGCAGGTGTGCAGGGCGGCTTGCAGGATTTTTAGATCGGGCTGCCTAGAGGCCAGCAAAGCGGGTCCTGTGCCCCGCGGCCAATGCGCACCGACATGGCAAGGGGGCAGGGTCCATTTATGACAACCTGACATTACACTCTTCTTAAATTCAGATACGCATACTGCTTCTGCTTCATACACCTCCCTTGAACACAGGCTGAACCAAATTTCCTCCTGCAACATCGTCAATGCGGCCGGCACGGTTGTGAGCCCCACCATTACTGGGGGGATGCAGATCACCAACCCAGACTTTGACTCCAGCTGCGTGTGCAAGTCGACCGGCCTCAAGCCGGTGCTGCTGCTGAGCGCTGTCGATGTCATCGCGGGCCAGCAGTGCACCCCGTGATTGCCAGTGACAAGTTGCGACCATTAGCATGCGGGCAAGCAACCTGCAAGTAGGAATGTAATGGACGGGGGCCAATTCCTGACATGGGTTGTGTGGGCGTGCTGTCGGCCCCACCTGCAGCCGCATTGGCCCCCTCCCCCCCCCCCATAATGGGTTCAGCAGAGTGCGCAATCTCTGCAGACCCGTTTTCATTGTTGTTGTGGCGCTTTATGCCCTGTTTCTGCAGGCTCGAATCCGCAGTTTCGGGTCTTGCGGTTTTAGTTGCCAGCTGTGCAAGCTCCAGGCCTGCAGCACACGCCACCCCCTGCTGTGTGCAGCACCTTGAACAGCCTGTACCCTTCGAGCGTCACACGAGTTGTGCCCTGTGGCCAGTCTGTCCAAGGCACTGCTGTGCTATTTCAGAACGATGCGTAGCTTGTACGCGCTTTGTGTTTTGCATAGGTGCTCAGACTCCAATGAGCTGTGCTATCGAACTGTCAGGACTTGCACATTCACCACATCCTGAGCACGGCCATCTACCGGCTCGCCCGGTGGCCCTTCTGGCGGGTGACAGGCTTGAATGGTGCGGACACGCGGCTATGCGCGCATGTCTGAAAATCCTTCACGCTGTCGTCGCGCCCGTACTCACTTCGATTCACGCACGACACACACACACACACATGCACACACGCACACTTCCTCTCCGTCACAGCCGTGGTGCCACGGGCTGCTGATTTGCCGGTCACCTGCTTGCCTGAAGGTTTAGCCACACTTGCCCTGCTCATCATTGTCCTGCTTTGCGCAAGCTTGATGGCCCCGACTCTTGTTGCGGCCAAACGGAGCGGCAGCAGCAGATCGGAGCCTGAGCAGGTATCCTTCTTCACCTGATAAATATGTGTGCATGTCGCCTGAGCGGCTCACTAGCGGCGGTCCTCCCGCAGGCACAGCCATCACTTCGGCTGCAGCGATCGCGGTTGAAACTTGGTTGCTCAGCACCTGGATGCCTTGCCAGCAGACTCATGCTTGTCGGCATAATCTCCCTCCTCAATCTGGTTCCCATCGCTTTTAAGCCTTGCCGGCGCATATGAATTGCAGACGCGTTGCAAGAGAGTGCAGACCTTGGTGCACGCCTTAGTCCAAACTCTTTGCAGCGTTGGACCCAAGCTCAAGGGAAAGCGCATCTTAGCTCTTCGCGGGTGGTGCTTCTGTCGCACCTTACATTGATTTTATTACACATGTAATGTGCGTATTCACAGTTCAACAATCGCACACACGCTGGAGCAGCGTGTCGCAGAGTGGTCGTTGCGGCCGGTGGTGCCGCTGGAGGCAGCAGACATGCAGGTGTCTGCAGCAGGCATGTGGGCACTGCTGGGTTATATGTGCATGCAGAGCCGGAGCCATGCATGGCCATGCATGGCTAGCTGCTTACATGCTTGGGACACGCAAGCCACAGAGCAATTTTTTGGACGAGGTGCCCCTGCGCACGCACCTGCATGGCTGCACCAGTCATGGGCACGGTCTAGCTTCCAATCATTCCTTGCAGTGTTCACCCGTATCGTTCAGCATGCATTTCCAGGGGCCTGAATAACTGAAGAGGTGCCTGGCACGGTCCAGGTGCCAGTTGTGAGCGGACTTTGCGGGCCACCGCCACCAGTGAGCGTATCAGCCACATATTGCTGATGGGGACCTCTGACCATTGGTTTTGGCCATCTGGCAGGCATCTACCCCAGCAATGGCGAGCACTGGTGTTGAAGATGTTTGTAGGGCTTGGGATGCTGCCTCTGGGGGCGCTGGTGGAGCTGCCATCAACGGACCCAACCGGGTGCACGCCGTGTCGCGGCACCCATTGACGTAATTGACGGACCCTGCTTCTCAGGGCGCCTGCCTGGCCTAGGTGCCGGCCTCCGCCCACTTGTCCGGGACTCCATTGGAGCTGTGTTGTGTGATCAAGGGATCTGGCTTGAGCTGCTGGTGGGTGCAAGCTGGTGGACCTGGCCCGCGCGATGCACCGCGTGCAGACAACAGGAGGTCTGTTGACATTTAATGGTTTTGCTGCCACCACTAACAATCATTGGCCTCACTCAGGAGTCAAGGGTGCGTGATGCGTACTGAACAAGAAAGCTTTTCATGAGCATTGAATGGGCCAAGCTTGCGCCTCCTCCTGTCGCAGCACTCACCGCACCGCGCCGCTCGCCGGCCGCGGTTTTTGAAATGGCCTTGGCTTACAGAACCTTTCCCAGCAGCCAACTGTACTGAGCTTGCACCCATGACTGCCCCCTTCACATGAGGATGTCACACCCCCTTGGCCTGTAACACGAATCCGTAAAGCGTTTGAAAAACCTTTAATGCTGATGAAGTATTGCACAGTTCTTATAAATTGGTTCTAGGCCGCGCCTCATTAACATAAGGTTACACGGCGCTGTGCACTCGCTTGCGCACGTTCGAGGCCAAGCAGCAGCTGCCGGGCTAACTACTCATTCCTGCCGACACAATGTAACTAACAAAATCGTGAGCAGCAACAACCATGTTTGTGCAGATCGCGACACCCTTGGACAACATCTAATCAACAGATTTCCAAGCTGCCCATGTCTCCAGCTGGGCTGCAGGCCCTGAGTGCCCTATCAGTGCCGCCCTCTCGCCATCCGCCGCCTTTTATGCGCCCAGTGCACCGGCCGCTGCCTTTGTCGCGCTCAGCGCACCAGCTGCAGGTCGTCGATGCAGAAGTTGACCTGCTCGTTTGGCTGGAACCCAATCTGGCTCGCCGCCGCCTGGTCTGGGCAGTTGAAAGCAGACATGGCGATGTCAAACTTTTGCCACTCGCCCTCTGTCGCGGCCGCCGGCAGCCCGCGCAGCCCTTTCTCATTGTTGCACCATTTGTTCAGGTTTGGGTTGCCGATCATCACCTTGACGTTCGGCACGGTGCCAGGGCTCGAGCGGTCGCGGATCCAAAACTCGACGGCCTTAACGCCGGCGAAGGGTTGGTAGCCCTCGCTGGTGCCGCAGCCGCGGCAGGCCCACGTCATGCCGCCTGGGGTTGCGTGTGCATGTGGTGTAGCGGTGCGGTGGCCTTATAAGATACGATTGCTGATTGTGGTCTGTCGAGGGGATTCATGCGATGCTGTGTGCAGCGGGGCAACATGACCATTTGCGTGTGGGTCTGTGGGTCAGGCAGAGGTCAGCGCAAAGAACGGGAGCTCAAACTCTGTCCGAATTGGAACCCTTGCTGGTGACGGTGGCGCGAATCTAAGTGTGCTGAGTCTGCGCGTGCGCAACGCCTCCCGGCGCTCGCCTTTTGCGTCGACGCGCAGCAGGGCACAGGCGGCAGCACTCCCACCGCGGCCCTTGCCCTTGGCCACGACCTGGGTTGGGGTGGAGGGAGCATTGGTTGCAATAAATACAAGTCAAGTCGACGGATGCACAGTCCACACTGCCTTAAAATTCCTCTCCGCGTCGTTTGACCCACCTTGACCATCACAGGCTGGTGGTTTGAAACCACACTGGCTGCAGCAACTCTGCCCACCTGGAAGTTGTTGCCGATCTGGCCGGTGGGGAACCAGGCCCACCCGACTCCCGGCATATCCGAGTACAGGACCTGCCAATGGAGGTTGTGCGTTGACAAGTTAACTTCAAATTATTCAATAGAGGTTGGTAGATTCATCCCCCTGACAGTGTGGCGAGGGCGTTGAGGATTCATGGAGGCGATTACCGCAGGCAAGATCAAGAGGGGCGGCCAACGAAATGCGGCCGCGCTCGTGACAGCCGCCCAAAACCACGGTCAAACACTACAGCCAACCAATGAAGTATTGTAACCTGGATCCCTCATTCATGCGCAATTGTACAGGCGAATCTCAGCCTGGATACATAAGTGATGAGAATGAGTGATTGCGCAGATGTGCCCCGTCACACACATCGCTTATGTACCCAGGCTCCAGACGGATGGGCTTCTTGGTGTCGCAGTCAACGGCGCGGTAGTCCTGCAGGCACGGCAGGCGGGAGGGCAGGCGGGAATCTGGGAGATGAGGGAGGAGCGCTCCAGGGTGAAGCCGAGTGATCGCAGCCGTCACCGCTTTGGTTGGCGGCTCACAATGATCATGCCTCAACGCCACCAGTACAGCTGCTTCACGCGCGCCTCATGTGAGGGGTTTTCAATGCAACAGCTCTTGCTTGGGGAGGCACTTCACAGAGACGCGCTGTTTGCTGCCGCAACACATTGCAGCGCGGCGAAAGCAGCCGCGTGTGCGGGGCCAGCAGCAGATCAGACAATAACTGAGCTCACACGACGCATAAAGCCAATTTTAGCTCAGGACTTCAGCTGATACTGATCCCTGGCCCTTCCTAGCAGCGCAGCCCAACCCTCCCTCCCCACAATCCTTGCCCCAATTGCAGACCTTTCCCACCACGGGCAAACAGCATCATATAAAGTCCCCTCTCCCATGCGCCCTCTCGAACCGCACTCCTCCCAAAAAAATCGGCTCACCACCATCATGATGCCGTACATCAGGTGCGCCAGCTGCTGGAACGCAAAGTATGAGAGGTCAAACTCGTTCTGGCCGGCCTTGGGATGCTCCTGCAGCGCAAGTGGCGCGGTCGTGTGCATCGGGGCAAGGTTGAGGGGGCATGCGGATGGCGGTCGCGATCAGAGGAACTGGGGGCATTGATCACAGTTGCATACGCAAGCAAGCAGGTCAGTGCAGCACATTCGCATACCTTCAGCTTGGCGCGTCTCTGAATGCGTAATGGGACTGCATGCACATGCTTACAGTGCACTGGACAGGGCTTGCAGCTGCATGTGTGGCAGCCAGGTGGTCTTGTGCAGTAAACCTTGGGAACCCTCGTCAGCACTCTCCTGTGCTGCGGACGTCACATCGAGGCTGGTTGCATGCACACACAGCATCCGTCTTTACCCCAGCACGCACAACAGACACAGAGGCGCGCGCGCGTGCACACACGCACGCACGCACACACATATACACACACACACACACACACACCTTCTTATTGTAGCAACACCCGTATTGATAGTACGGCGCCTGATTTGCAGGCGCGTAGTAACACGGGCTGCATTTTGCAAATGGGTGCATTTGTGAGCCGTCAGGGTTGGTTGATACGTGGTTGCAAGCAGGTGTGGGTGGGATGGGGTGGGGTTCGAGTGGGCGGGAAATGTGTGTGCAGGAGCGCGCGTGTGTTGTGCCTGGCTGCGGTGAGTTCGTACCTGGGCAAAATGTGGGCTGTTTACAATCGGACAAGCCCAGTGAAGCAGTACAATTGAAGCCCTTCGCCATGCAAAACCCTGAACCCTTGAACACCCAACCCTGAACCCCATCCCACCCCAGCAGATGTCAATAATCTTCACCACCACACTCTTGTTGGGATCCCAGCACTTGACATCCACGGTAGGGGTGGCGTTCTTGCTGCCGGCGTTGCCTGCGTCGGCCAAATCATCAGTGGCGGTCGCGTTAACGCCAGGGCGTGGGCGGGCACGCCCGGCGTTATCTACGGTACTGCTGGTGGGTATAACGTATAGGGTATAGGGTTTTGTTCAGGGTTTCTTGTCAAGCAGTGATGCTCAGCCAGCGGTTGCTGCACATGTAGGTGGAACCGCCGGACAGGAGGGGCTAAGGCGAAGGGGGGGGGGTGCGCGGCCGGCATGGAGGTGCGTTGGGCGGGGGTGCAGCACCTTGTCAGGTGTTGCACCCTTGCACGGAAGTGGTTGTGGCAATTCGTGCAGGCTTTGTTTTTTGGTGAGGGGGCGGCGCGGCGGCCTCGGCCCCCGCAAGCCAGCCCCCTCTTCCTTAATTTACGCGGGCGTCACAGCCTGCGTAGTCTCTCTCTCTCTCTCTCTCTCTCTGCGTTGGGCGGCAGCCCGCATGGCCGCGGCGCTGGAGCCGGCAGTCGCACCCGGGAAGGGGCGCACCTGGTCGTCTGGTACAGATGCGATGTGCTCCCTGGGTGGGAGGTGGGCGCGCACAGTTTGGTGCGTCAGTGAATGGTGGATGGCCGAGGAGCAACGCAGGGGCTTGGGGCGCGGGGTGGGGGGAGCAGGGATAAGAGCCACTCCCCGCCCCCTGGAGCAGGGAGAGCAACACGCGTGTGACTGGTTTTGGGAGAACGACATGCACGCATCAATGCAGAAGAAGGGCGTGTGTGTGGAGGGCAGGGTTTGGGCTTGGGGGTTGAGAGTGGGCGCGTGAAAAGGAGACCCTGCAGGATTGCAACAGCTGGGCGGGGTTTGGAGACCCAGCACCTACTTGTCGTTGAGATTATTGCACCATTTGTTTTGGAGCTTTTGCAGCTAGTACACAGGAGATAATCCCATCTGGGCACTACTGCACCTCTATCTCCCAATTAGATGACATACTCACACTCACCAAAATGGGAAGTAGCTGCGCGATGCACGCGGTCGTGATGGCGCGTTTGGGCAAATGCATTGAGGGACGATGCGGCGGTTCAGGAGCGGGGTGAATGAGTGGCAGAGAAGTGTCAAACCTGGCATTGATTAGGGTCACTTGCTTGGCATCATTGCCTGTCTCCTGCATCAGCCCCTTGGTGAGGATGTGTTGGGCTGATTGCCAGGGTGAGGGCAGGCTCACTTTTGTGTGTAGTCCACCGGTTTCTTTGCCCACCCCAAGACGTCCCCCGGGGAGCACTTCACCTGCAACCAGGCGATTATGCAGGGTGCGAGGCGCACGCGTCAGCAGAGGGCGGGCGATGAGGAGGGAGGTTTATCTACAAATATCTGGCCCCTCGCTGCAACACTGTGGGGCAGGCGTCAGCCCCCTGCGCTCTTCCAAGAATATATGCTGCAACCCTCATACGCGCGCGCGCGCTCGCGGCTAGCACCCGGCCACGATTGTGAAACAAATCTGTTGCCCATTCGCCCGTCTGCCCCTGCCCCAACATGACACAATACGCTAATCATACCCAAGGGCCCCGCCAGCCAAAGCCGAGCCCAAACAACGGCATGCGTCAGCTTGCGCAAGGCTGGGTCCCATCCTTGGTCTGCAAAGCACGTGGACACCCTATCAATTGCAGCAGCACCCTGAACCCCAATGCCTAAACCCCAATAGCAGCAGCAGACAGTGAGGCGCTCGCGCCTCGTAGCAGCGTTCGCACGAGCCCGGGTAGTCGGGATTGGCGTCCGCGTAGGATGCCACCTGGTCGAGCGGCCAGGGCACAGTGCTGTCCCCATTGGTCAGGCCGCACCTGGTGCGGGGAGGGGGGGGCATCGTTGATGCGTTTTTGGGTGGATGATGGTATTTGGTGACGTGCATGTGAGGGCTGAGGCAATGGAAGGCAGAGGGGTGGGTTGCTCAGTTGCTAGGAAGGCAACGTGTGATGTGGGCGAGCACATAGGAGGGCAGAGGTGTGATGTTGTTGACACGTGGGCGCGCATGCGCTGCGCTGCACTTGCAGTCCTGGGGGGTTGGTCGGCTGGGGGCTGCATGCGTGCCTGGTTGTCATTCAAGTGAATAGAACGTGTCGAGGTGCGTCGGGTGCAACTTCAGAACCAGAAGGCAGGCCCAGTCAAGTGCAGCACAGTGGGCAGACGACCAAACTTCTCGCAAACGCATGGCAGCGCCTTTCCTCACCCGCCATCAATGCGTGCACACGAAAGCTAGCGGACGTGTGCGCCCTGCAAGCGGCCCCAGTGTATGCACTCACCCGCCCCACGGGATGATGCCGAACGCGCTGCGGCCGCCGCCGCGGTAGGGCGCAAATTTGGTTACGAAAGCGCTGTCCTGGTTGCTGCACAGCGCGAATGCGTAGGGTGGAGGCAGAGGTTGAGATGCAAGGGAGCAATGATCGCGCCGAGATTAGGTGGCTGCGCTGGCAGCGGCCGATCAGCGAGGGGTGGACAACGCTTGAAGCAGCCCGGGGTGCAGGTGTGTTGAGAGGGAGGAGCATGATTGGATGGGACGGGCTTGTTGACCACGAGGCAAGTGGGGGACTAAGGGACTATGGTGATCACTGCACACGTGTCAGCCAGGTGCTTAGGATGGGAGGCAATGCTGAGCTGGCACCGATACTGACTGGTGGCGTCAGCAACCCCCACGGGCGCACGCGTGCTGCGAACGCGCGCCCGCTAAGCAGGAGGACGAGCATTGCGCCAAACGGTCTGGAGAGTGCTCCCATCTGCATAAGCCAAGATCACCCAGCGTCAGGGACCTTGACAGCAGGCGTGCGATGCATAAAAGGGTCATGCGCACGGGTGACGGCATGCGCCCAGTCAGCATCGGGCGGGGCCACCAGACACCCCTTGGGCACGTCTCTGCCAGCTCACCCGTACCAACTGGCCCTGCCCCGCCGCCAATAAGGCTCCACAACCTGCTCTGGGGCACCGTGGCTGGGCTGCGGCAGCAGCGCCAGAAGGCAGGCTGCTCCAAAGAGCAGGAGGCACACGTGCTGGTGGAGCGGCATGGTTGCGTCAGGGGCTTGATCACTAGTGCGGCGACTCGAGATGAATGCGAACAGGTGTTATGACCTACGAAGCTCTGCATGATATAAGGTAAAAGGGCGCTCGTGACATACGCTGACGGTTCGTTCCGAATCCCTTCTCGTTGCAACGATCGAGCTAGACGGCGTTATAACAAGAGACGTTCAGTTGACAACCTGCAAAACCGTGGTATTGGTGATATTCAGGTCAATCAGATAGGTGATGCTGCATGTGATTCACTACGATCGCAATGACACCACGTCCTCCAAGGTCAAAAGGCCACTCCTGCACGCCCCAGTCCGAAGGCGCGCTGTTGCCGTGTGGCGCAGCGTCACATGAGCCAGATGTAACCTGTGAAGAGTGGATTAATTCGACAATAGTGTACTATGATGCAACACTAACCAACAAGAGAGCTTTGCATGCCGCCACGGACTGGCTGGACAGCAGGCCCTCGCTTTCTCTGGACTGCAGCACAAGTACAGCAGTGACATCAGCTGACTGGCGAGGGCAAGGATTGAGGGACAGGTTTGAAAAAGTAGAGCCCTGAAGCACCCAGACTCAGCTGGGGTGAACGAACACTCCTGTGCAAGGGTGCCACCCACAGGAGCAGGAGCATTGCTCAGCAGCGGCACCGGCCATAGCGGCAGCAGCAGAAGCAGCAGCAGCAGCAGCAGCAGCAGCAGCAGCAGCAGCAGCAGCAGCAGCAGCAGCAGCAGCAGCAGCAGCAGCAGCAGCAGCAGCAGCACTGGCTGGCAGCCAGTTGCAGCGACTGCAAGCAGCTCGCATCCCGCGTTGCTTGAAGATCCTTGGAACAAGTAGAGCCAGTACCTATTCATAAGCGAGGCATTGCATCTGACGCCTGCATGCGACGCGTCTGCGGCCATCGGCGGGACGTGCACTTTTGGTCATCAGCGCTGGTTTCGTTCATCAAAGCAGCCACAAGTCTGCATGCCTGGCGCATCAAAGCAGCGATGATCTAGGAAAGGAAGGGTTGGGATGTTCAATGCAGGGTGGCAGCACTGCGCTGGTGCCAGGGGCAGCACGGACCTGCTAATTTGCTGTTCCGGCCGGGGCTTGATGACACAAACTCATCACCACGGAAAACCCACATCATGAGGGGAAGGGTCAACACCTTTGACAGAAATGCTAGAGCCCGGGACATTGTGAGTCGCTGCTTGACATTCCGTGTTGCAATGAACACCACTTGCTTCACCGGACCAACGCCGAGGCAACCGAGGCAGCAGCATGAGCAAGAGTCCGCTGCAAGCAAGCCGCCGCCAGCGTGCAGGCAGCACCGTAGAATCTTAGTAAAAGTTCCAGATTTTCGAACGACTCGCACATGCACTAAAAGTACAGGATTCACAGTTGACAGGCAAAGCCAGTAATTTTACCTACCTACTCCCTTCTTTTACGCCCCTTGACGGAAAGTACAAATCTAAGGCCATGTTTTTGGTAACACTCACGGCATCACCTTGGCAAGGCCGCAAAATCTGGGTGAACTGATCCGAGGCACTCTGGACAGCGGCCCCGGGTCCACGTCGGAGTGACAGGCGTCCTCGCGGCAAGCAGTTACCTCAAAGCGATGAATACGACACTAGATGTCTCCCGGACCCAACTGCTGGTGGCCGCGGTCCTGCTGGTGCTGGCCGCCCCTGCGCCGCTTCGGGGGGTCGCCGCTCAGCCCGGGCCCCCAGGCGGCGCGCCGCCGGGCCGCTCTATTGTGGACGAGGTGCCCGCCGATGAGAACGGTCATCGGAAGCTGTGGATGAACTGGCTGTGCACGCGGGACAACCCGCTGTCCGACGCCGGCTGCAGGAATCTGACCCTCGGGTGGGCAAACTCGCGCGCCCCCCCGCCGCTGCCGCCGCCGCCGCCGCCGCCCTGGGCGCTGCCAGAGGGCCGTCGGCACGGGGATCGAGCCACCATGCATGATCACGCGCTTGGCGTGTGCGGTTCAGGGTCGCGGCAGAGGGTCACCCTGCCTCGGCAGCCAGATCTTGGCCCAAAATCTCGTGCCTCCCCCAAAACCTGTGAAACGCACAGCACGCATGGGTAACGCGCGCACGCGCGCGCACGCACAAACGTATGCGCGCACGCGTGCACACACACATAAACAAACACATACACACACACCCTCTCAAAAACACAGTCTCAAAAACACAGTCTCAAACACACACACACACACACACACACACACACACACACACACACACACACACACACGCGCGCGCGCGCACAGGCAGCTCGAGGCATGGGAGGGCGGCCTGCCCAAGGGCATCGACCTCGTCACCCGTGACGCCGGCCCCGGCGCCAGCGACGCCTCTCAGCGCGACAACGGCCAGCCCTTCTCAGACGGCGGGCCGCGCCTGCTGGCGCAGCAGGGCGCCGGCCGCGCCCCCAGCGGCCCGAGGCGCGGGCTGCTGGCGGTCACCAACTGGAACTTTCCGGCTGACATCACGACATGCGTACAGGTGCAATGGCCAGGTCGCTCCTCAGTAAGGCCCGTGCGCGTGCTCATTGCACAGGCCCGCCGTGCCGTTCCCCCCTCATTCCCGCCCTTGCAGCTCTGCCTCCCCCCGCCCGCACCCCTGGCGCCCCTTGCAAGGGGCGCCAGGGGCGCAATTGCTTGTCTCCTAAAACTTCTGCCTAGCTGCAGCTGGGGAGTTCAAAGTGCAGTGGCTGACACTCCACGCTCTCCAAAACGCACTCCTCCCTGCCC